CATGTCCAAGGGAAGCACTGTTAGACAGTTAAAGAAATAAAGGGAAAGGAAGAAACCAAAGGAGAGAAAGAAAGAGGATCAAATGCAAACATAGAGAAGCACATTTTATTTCATGGCTGTCAGAAATATGAGACAAGCAGAATCGAGACATAGGCAATCATGTGTCAGCACTGTGAGAGATTTTGAGAAACTATGGGTGCAAAGTCAAAGCATTACAAGTCAATCAATTCTTAGATTATGTTCAGAAGACATGCTGGTTTCCAAAAGAGCCTGTCGGGTTTTGTTTTGTTTTTTGTGGGGGTGAGCCACAATACTGTACATGCCCAAGGGGTATGGGACAGGTAAAGATATAAAAGGAAAAGAGAAAGCAAATCACTCCCTCTTAGAAGCCTGCCATGCTTCTTATCTTCTCAGCTTGTGTGTAAATTTTATCCGGTTAATAAATACATTAGCTTCTCCATTGCATTGACTTCCCTCATCAGTTTTTTCTCTCTTTGCTCTTTGAGGACCCACAACCCAGCTCCCAAATAAATACATGTGGACTTATTCTTACTTATGAATGCCCGGCCTTAGCTTGGCTTGTTTCTATCCAAATATTCTTAACTTAAATTATCCTATCTACATTTTGCTTCTGGGGTTTTTACCTTTCTTTATTCCACATATCTTTCTTTCCTTCTTACTATGGCTGGCTTTGTGCCTAGGTGGCTGGTCCCTGGCATCCTCCTCCTCCTTCTCTCTCTCTCTCTCTCTCTCTCTCTCTCTCTCTCTCTCTCTCTCTCTCTCTCTCTCTCTCTCTCTCTCTCCTCATTCTATTTATTCTGTCTGCCTCACAGCCCTGTCTACCCTCTCCAACTCTTTATTAAACCAATCAGGTGTTTGAGGCAGGCAAAGTAAAAAGTAACACAACTTCACAGAGTTAAACAAATGCAACACAAAAGAATGCAACCTGTCTTCCCATCACTACACAAATATCCCACAGTATAAACAAATGAAATACAACTTAATAAAAAAGTCCCCAACAAGGAACACTGCATTTGGCCACTTGGGAAAGAAAAGGACAAGAGCTGGAGGTATTCAGTGATGAAGGACCTAAACTTGTTCCCATTTTCACTTTCAGTTTCTAGAGCCTTATATTGTGACCCACAGATGCACAGCCCCTACCTCTCAGGACAGCAGACTTGCCAGATGAGTTCCAAAGATTTGCCCCTTCAGATTACAAAGAATCGGCCACTTCTCCCTGAGAAATAGCTACAGATAGTGATTCAGGTCCAGCTTGTCCCAAAATGCCTGGTGCCACAAATGCTGACCCTGAGGAGAATGTTTAGGAGGACAAAGCCACCAACCCATGGCAATATTGTCCCATGAGTCTGGGCCATGAGAGGCTCAAGGAGAAGTGGCCTCACTCCTTCCAGCAGGCCTACTTTAGGAGAGATTAGGGGGAAGATATTGATAGTTGGACAACTTACCCGTATTTGAGCAACCTGAACTAAATCTCCTGGGGGAAGTGCTGCATTGCCATGAGACTGTACCTTTCAATCATTAAGATCAACCAGTCCTGCATGTTCTCTGGGTCTCCTGCTCCATTTAACCAAGGTCTTGTTCAGAGAGTCCTCAGTAACACGCCCTGGTCTCCCTCTGAGTAGTTAAGCATAGCAAAATTTTCCATCCACCCAGGGCTCTAACTGTTATTTAAAACTGGGCAAGAGCAGCATAATTCCTACACCACAGAATTTCTACAACCCCAACATGCTTCTAGGTACCAATTACAACACTGCAGTACCAACAAATTACAAATTACACAGGCCTACCAACAAATTAGTATAGCTGTCTTAAGGGCATGGAGACCTGCTCACTAAAAGGAAAAGGCCATGTCACTGACTGATATTCACCAGGGCCTGGAACAGTTGTACACAGTTTTTATGGCCCAGCTCTTACAAACTACAGGGCTCCTTACCAACGACCCTGGAGAAGAAAAGGTGTTTCTGAAACAACTGGCTTTTGAAAATGCTAACAAGACTTATAAGGAGGCCCTTGGGAGTCTCTAGAAATGCTTGAAGGTCCAAAAGATGATTGGGTTGTGTGCCAATATAGGTCCTGGTCACTGTCAAGGTCAGTGGCTCTCTCAACTACCCTTAAGGATGTTGTATGCTCTGAGGGAACAAGCTGTGCCTGTTATGCATGGGAAGAAACGAGACATTTTTGCCAATAAGAGCCACCAGGGGGATCTCAAATTTAAAAAAGGAGTAGGGTCTTGTAGCTCCTGGATGGTCCACACAGCGCGGTGCTTTAGATTTCAGGGAGAATCCACTGGGATAAGGAATGCTGCTCACAAAGGACTATTCATAGACAGCACCTGAGAAAGCTTGAGAAACAGCCTCTGTGGCCTGCCCTGGCCCAACCAAACAGTAAGGGGTAGCACTCTACGGAGCCCCACAAAACAGCAGGGCAGATAGATGACCCTCAGCCACCAAAGCGCACCATTGATCAGCTCTATCAGGCAACGTCAGTGGATGGGGGATTGAACCTCAGTTCCACCAATCAGTTCATCACAAGCCCTCACATGGGGACCCAAGCCATCCCTACTAGAGTATACAGGCCCTGGTCGCCAAGCATACTAAGACTTGGGGTGTGGGTGGGACTAAATTGGCTGCTGCCACTGCTCTGGTGGAAAAACAGTTAAAAGCTGGGCACATAGAATGGCCCGGTGTCTCCCAGTCTCAACCTGTAAATCCCGATGTAGCTCTCTACTGCTCCGGTGCCATGTGTGCCACCATGCTGCCCACCAGGATGACGACGGACTACACATCTGAAACTGTAAGCAAACCCTCCAGGAAAGGGCCAAAAGCCATCTTCATTCCGGTATCTTTGTAAAATTATAGAGGAGAACACGGCATCCTCTCAAAACCGAGAAATTTGCAAGCATTGTCTCAAAACACAAAACACTTCATGATTACCGAAACTTTTGGAGGATATAAATTGGGATAGACTCCCACTTAACCTTACCACCCAGGGAGCTTCTTCTCTTTTCCCTAATTTTAGAAAAAGGGACCAAACCTTTTTATCCACATCATCTACTTCTGAGGCGAGGATGACCCTAACTGTGGTGGAAATGGCGCTGCCCGATATTTATTTAAACTAAATTTCTTAAGCCATGCAGAGGATGATCTCACTGCTTCAAAACAAGACTGGTTGTCAAGGGACAAGAGCAAAGCCTATGAAGAAAAATGGTTTGGCTTGTTCCCCATGCTGTTGTTGGAGTGAGAGGATGCTTGTGCTTTTCCTGAACAGCCACATGGCGTACCTTCAAAGCCTATAAATATTCATGGATCCAGTCAAGAGGCTGAGAGTGAACCATTGAAGCTCTTAGGGTGGCCATTGAAGCTCTTAGAGCTGTCTGAGAGGAGGAGGCTTGTTGCAAGAACTGCAAGAAAGATGTTGGCACCCACAATTGACTGAGGAGGGAGAATAAAGCCTGGGATTCGGAAATATCTAGCAGCTATATATCTGATGTGACTCGTAATTATGTCCACCTTACTTAATTTTCTACTGCTGTGACTAAACACCAGGACAAAGGCAACTTGAAGAAAGAGTTGATTGGAGGGGGGTACCTATAGTTTCTACAGAGGGGTTTATGAGCATCACGGTGGAGAGCATGGCAGCAGGCAGGCGGGCACTGGAGTCACAGCTGAGGACTTACATACTTGGCTTCAGGTAGGGGGCAGGGGTGCCAGCAGAGAAGGCTAATTGGGAATGACATGAGCTTTTGAAACTTCAAATCCCACTTCCAGGGAAATATGTTCTCCAATGAGGCCACACCTCCTAATCCTTCGAAATGAGTTCTAGCAACTAGAGACCAAGATTTCAAATGTATGAGCCTGGGCTGGGGTGGACATTCTTCTTCAAATCATCCCAACAGCTAGTCACAGTAAGAAGCATAGGACAAAGTCTAAGAAACAGTCATGGAAATATAGTTGGGCCACAGGTTGTAGCTCAGCAATAGAATGTTTACCATGCACACAGGAGGCTCTAGGCTCAGTCCCAGTTTGAGCATCACACAGGTACTCTCAACAGTTATATGCAATATTAATGTGAGAAAGAGCCTGGAAAGCAATGGTCAGTCTCAAGACACGCCTCAGTCGTTGCTGACTGACAAGAACAGTTCCCTGGTTTGGGAATTAGAAGACCACTAAACACCAAGCTACTCAAGGAGACAAATAACTTTTGTAGGTTTTGGAAGACGAAATCATTGGAAACGAAATTCATGAAAGCAACAACCTTGTATTGTGGGTGCCAAGTCTGGTCCTGAGAGTATTTCATGCATTATCACATGTAAGCCTGTAATCCGGGAGGTATGACGGAAGCTCCACGCACCATTTTATAAGGACTACATAAATAAGCGTGCAGACTCTGTGATGACACTTTCCATATAATGTGAACTGAGGTTTTTACAGAGTACAGTTTGTGGAAAGCGATGCAAGAAGAAGGCAAATTGGGAGACACTTAGCACTGCTTCAGAATAAAGTCCTGAAGGATTACAGTTTTATTATAGTATTTTAAAACTTGAACATGGCCAGGTGCACACCTTTGATCCCAGCATTTGGGAGGCAGAGACAGACAGGTCTCTGTGAGTTCAAAGTCAGCCTGGTCTACCAAAGTTACAGAGAATCCCTGTCTCAAAAGACCAAAACCAAACAAACAAACAAAAAACTGAATATGAAAAAAGTGGGAAGATAAATCAAATAAAAATAAATGGGTTAAAAAAATAGGTATAGTCTTAATCTAATGTGTGAAGAGATTGCAACATTCAAACTGAAAACTGAACTGTCGCAAAATGAAGGAAAATTGGTGAGCTGGATAAGAAATACTGGAAAGCAAGATCATTATCGCGTCGTCGTCAGCACTTTTCTCTGCACACCTCCATCTGGGGGAAGAATTAGCGGCCAGGTCCCTACCCCACCCCAATCTCCAGTCCGGCAGAGTGAGTGGCCTTAAACTACATCTCCCATAAAGCAGTGCGAGGACGGTGGCCCTCCACCGGAAGTTCTGAAAGCTACCTCCAGAGCCGGGAGCAGTGGGAGCTGAGTTTGCCCACGGAGTTCTGCATCGCGGTCGCGGTTTCTCTGGTCACACTTGGGTTAGTAGCCCCAGCGGCGTCGGTCGGCCCCGTGCTGTCCCTGGGCGTCCCTCGCGGGCTGGTGGCGCAGCCTGGCAGGGCTTAGAGGGCGCAGGCGCAGGACGTGGACCTGTGGCTGCGTGCGGGCCATAGCTGCTAAAATTTCTGGCCAAGTTTTCGATGGGGTAAAGCAAACTAGCAAACTACTTCGGATGCGTCTCCTTGAGAGAAGGGAGTCGTACAGTAGAAGAAACAGTAATCTGTTCGCGGCGTCTGGCCCTATGGAGACACATGTTTGCGTAGTTTGCTCTCAGTGGCTTAAATGGGTCTTGACAGCCCAGCGAGTGGAATTTATTAAATGATGGTTGGTGGCTTAGGTGACAGGTCCACTCTGACGCCCTATTGTATCCTGCTAGAGCCATGCTGGGCAGGTCTAGGGGCCCAGGTTACTTATTTAGTGAAAGCGGATGTTGGTTTGGTTAAAATCTAGTTCCTTTGAAACTCAAGTCCCTTCTGATTGTCCTCTGGGAATAGCATTGGAGAGCAGGGGACATGCTTTGTCCTGCCCTCCCAGCCTCGCCCTTCCACAGCACCTGTCAATAAGAAAGAAATGATTGACAGGTAGTGCGGCCCCATCCCCGGAAGGCGGCCTGGTGGTACCTCTAAATGACTTTTGTACTGAGAAAGCGAAAGGACAGGGGCCTTTTTTTTTTTTTTCTTCTTAGTACAGAGAATGTTTTGTGCATACGTACTGCATCCATGGTAGTGTATGGCACAACATGTTTGGGGAACCAGTGTTGCAGTCACCCGGGGTGATCAATTAGGACAGTGAAGGAGTGACCATGAACTCTGAAACCGTGACCTCTGAACAGGGAATAGTGAAGCAGTCAAAGTAAACTTCCCTGGACGATCTGCAACAGGACCTTGTGAGTGTGATTTAAGAGAAAGGGACTTTGGAAGATGCTTAGGAACTCTTCATATGAAGCCCTGCAATATTACAGCCCTGGCCACGATATTTTAAAGTATTTGTAAACTTCAGTATGAAAAAGTGGGAAAATAAGTAAAATAAATAAGGTCAGAGTAAACTGACAGATGTAAAGGTCACTCCTGGATTCACTGCCAACAGGTTTTAAACAAGTTTTTTAAAGTTTTAAGCTACTTATACTTAATATTTAATTTTTTATTTTTATTTAATTTTTAATTGTATTTTACGTTCCAACCTCAGTTCTTCCTCTTAACTTAGGGTGCCAGGCTTTGTTGACCCCCCTGGCAGGTGGTGCCCTTTGGGAGGAGTGAAATGGGGAGTGGGCTGCTGGAAGGGAGCACTGTGGCTGGGATGTAAAATCAAATTAAATTATTTATAAATAACAGAAGACACAAACGGGAAAACAGATGCCAAGTCAGAAAGTTGGTCTTTGAGCATTTTCCTGAACTTTGTACCGACTACACTACAGGTTTAACTAGCCAGATTGCTGTTTCACAATCCAAAAGATAGAAGAACCAAGAAGACAGAAAGAGTACTTTGTAGTTAACAGATCGTTGAAACACAAGTCATTTTTTTAATCTGTAGTTTTTTTAGTGCAGCTCTGAACTACAAATTAAGAACTACAAATTTAAGATCCATGCCTTTGCTTTGTTTACAACAAAACAATACCAGGGCAATCGAGGTTAATCATTTTAAAAATTGCTTCAAGGACTACAGCGTGGCCAACAAAAACTGTACCCAACAATAGGTACAAAACTGCATTGTCATCTAATTTGTGACGAGGATAATCACGCAGTGCAAAGAGACAAAGATAATTTCAAGAATGGTGCTGGGTCATGAAGTATCCACAAATGAAAATAAATCCTGACCTAGTCTACCTCACACCGTGAACAAAACTTAGTACCATATGGATTGCAAAATTAATTATGCAAAGGTTAACCAGTAAATTGTTTTTATGTGAAGTTTTAAAGGCTCTTAAATAACTGTAGAGTCATAATTTTTGAGAGATGACATCTATGACATAGTATAGGATATTACTTATCTGCTGAAGCATCTGCTTCTAATGTCACCTGCTTTAGCCCTGTCCCTGCCGTGCCCCTGATGTGTTCTTCTGTATCTCAAATGCCCACTCCTTTTTGTGTCGTTACGGCTTCTCTACCATCCCAAGCTCCTCATCTCTGCGCATCTACTCCTGGGCGCATAAATTGAATTATAATTCTCAACTGTTAACGATTTCAAAGTCTGCATGACAGTAGCAGTTGACCGTGAGTTATCTTTTGACAGCTGGGTGTATTGGTTTGGAAACTTACTGTGTCTCCAAGATAAGCTGTTAAATAGTGTTCATCCATCCATGCAAAAAGCAGCTGCAAGTAAGGCTTTCCTTGTTTTTGTGTTTGTTTGTTTGTTTTAAGGAAGAAATGTCATACACAAAAGGAAATCCAAAGCGGGAAATCATTTCTGAACTCCACTGTTCCGCTGCAGAAGGAGATGTTGCCCGGTTGGCAGGGATACTCAGCCATTCCCCATCCCTGCTCAACGCAGCCTCTGAAAATGGCTGGACCGCCTTAATGTATGCCGCACGGAATGGGCATCCTGATGTTGTCCAGCTTCTGCTTGACAAAGGGTAAACACCTTAGGGCTGTACCACCTCAAAGGGTTTGTGATTCTATTTCTGCTGTCACGTCCTTTCACGATATCCTATAGACTGCTTTATATTGATGGGCTAGGAAACAGCTCAGTGCTCAGTTTTTTGGGTTTGTTTGTTTGGTTGGTTGGTTGGTTTTGGTCAGAGTTAGTAATTATACACAAGTTTTCGTGTGTAACATGTAGTCTTCCTGTTCGCCGCCTGGTTCCTGTTGCTGCTTTCAGCCCCCAAATAACACACAAGACACTATTTTAGTTATGAAGCTGGTGGCCGTTTCCTCGGTTTCTTATCGGCTAGCTCTGACTTGATTATATATTATTATGTATTATTACTAATATATCTTTTACAAGGACTTATCTTTACAAGGACGCACTCCTGCCGCGTCCGTTCCTCCCAGGAGATCACATGGCGAGAGCTCTCCTCACTACAATTCCCAGAATCCTCCTAGACTCCTAGTCCCACCTATCTTGTTTCCCTATTGGCCAACAGTGCTTTATTCAGATCAATCGGACACATATTTACAGAATGCCATCTCCCACCATTCATGCATGTATGTCAGGCAAGCTCTCTAACTCTGAGCTACATTTGTGAATAATTTAGAGAATAATTTCTTAATTGAGAAGCTAACCCTTCATACTTTGTCTGTGAGGAGTTTAATACCTTCTAAATAAAAAGTGTGAGTCTCTTTATGGCTACCATAGAGTATATAGAATATTTGCATTTCTTTGTGGCATAGAGAGACACATTTCCACTTCATTTAAATGTCTACTATCATTAACCTTTCGTTTCTCACAATTGTTACATGATTCTTTTAACCTTCAGTAGTGAACTATGCAGCAAATGATGAAAAAGGAAATAAAAGCACACATTAGTGGGGCTGTATATGTATTTTGCTAAAATAAATATGAGAGATCTTACTTCTCGTTTTATTTTCCTTCCCATTTGTTTTCTTCTGTCTAGATGTGACAGGTCACTTGTCAATAAATCACGGCAAACTGCACTGGATATTGCTGTGTTTTGGGGTTATAAGCACATAGCTAACATGTTAGCTAATGCAAAAGGTGGGCAGAAGCCTTGGTTCCTAAGCAGTGAAGTAGACGAATGTGAAAATTATTTTAGCAGAACACTGCTGGACCGGAGGAGTGACAAAAGAAATAATTGTGACTGGCTGCAAGCTAAAGAGAGCCACCCGGCCACAGTTTATATCCTTTTCTCGGACTTAAACCCCCTGGTTACTCTAGGTGGTAGCAAAGAGAGCTCACAGCAGCCGGAGGTCAGGCTCTGCCAGCTGAACCATGCAGATGTAAAGGACTACTTGGCGCACCCCGAGAGCATCACCTTGGTGTTCCTTGGAGTAGAACTCGAGATGAGAAAGGGGTGGCATGGTAACGCGGAAGGAGCCCCAGTGGAAGACGAGGATGGTCTGGTTGCTTGGTTTGCTCTCGGCATCGAACCTGTCGCCGCCGAAGAGTTTAAGCAAAGACATGAAAACTGTTATTTTCTTCACCCTCCGATGCCAGCTCTTTTGCAGTTGAAAGAAAAAGAAGCCGGTGAGGAGAGAAAATGCTTGCCTGTGTGGGTAACTGTCTGGCTTTAAGGGGAGTTTGGAGTTGTGTGTGCAGCGTTTGGGTGCACACGCCAGCGAGCAGTCAGCATGAGAACTCCAAGTTTACACCCAGGACACTCTTCCAGCGCTGGTAGCAGTTTCAATCAGTCAAGATCAGTTTCCTCCGAGTGAAGCTCCCTCTCCCTGTGTGATGGTTTCATTTAATTCCTCTTAAAGTTTGAGTCCCTGCTAGACTTTGAACATGATGCCAAAGACCTTGCTGTTGTGTTTTCTGTTGCTGGGCTTTGTTATTGCTAGTACGGGAGGAGTGTCTCTCCCTGTCCATCCTCGTGTGTGTGTGTGTGTGTGTGTGTGTGTGTGTGTGTGTGTTAAAGAGCAATGTGTGTCAAAGAGCAAGGTTAATGCTAGCTAATTCATAAAACACAAATTGTAGGTATATAGGTGGAGTGGAGGTGAGAATCCTTACTAAGTGCATTCATTATTGTAGTGTCCAGAAGAGGCAGCCGATTAGAACGGTAGGAATGAAGATAGATTTTTCACTTGCCATATCGAAAATTAAATTGAAAGGAAAAATAGCTTTTGGGGGGTGGCTACCATAATCTAGCTGTGTGATATTTTTATTTCAGAGATTATTACAATAAAATGTTTAAAACAAAATATAAAAAACGAATAATAACGATTCATAAAGCCATTGGTCAAGCAGTAACTCAGAAAACAATGTATGTGTTTACTGTAGCTTCAAAGCATTGCACCTACATACTACTCCACTTCTGCATGGAGATAAAACTTTTTATACTTCTTCTTCAAAGGGGTCGTAGCTCAAGCAAGATCTGTTCTCGCATGGCATAGTCGATACAAGTTCTGCCCAACCTGTGGCAGCACAACTAAAATCGAAGAAGGTGGCTATAAAAGAGTGTGCTTAAAAGAAAACTGTCCAAGTCTCCATGGCGTCCACAATACATCTTATCCAAGAGTTGGTAAGGCTTTTCTTCTTTTGAAGTGTGTGTGTGTGTGTGTGTGTGTGTGTGTGTGAACATATGTGTACAGGTGCCCTGTAGACCAGAAGAGTGTCATCCCATTGAGCTGAAGTCATGGTTCACTGGGAACTACCGAGCGTGGGTGCCAGGCGATGAACTCTGGTTCTCTCTAGGAGCAGCAAGCACTCTTAACTGTGAGCTGCCTCTGTAGCCCTGTGGCTTTGGTTTGTTGTCTAGTGTGTGTGTGTAGGTGGAGTGTTTGGTTGGTTGGTTGGTTGGTTGGTTGGTTGGTTGGTTGGTTGGTTGGTTTTGTTGATAATGTAATCTCAACTACCTGGAATCTGAGGTGGGAAGATAGTCTGGAAAGTTTTGAGGAACTAAAATGTTGACATTTTTATTGAGCATATGTCATGATTGTTGAGTAAAAGGCTCATTGTTCACAGTCAGTTATGGCTGACCTCTGGTTTGATCAGTTCATGAATTTGCTGCATTGGAAAGCTTCACTTCCAAGCCAGTCAGAGTGACTCCTCTCCACGCAGGGATCATAAAAGTCTCCCGTGGTTCAGCTCCTATTGGAGGCATTCCCCAGCCTTATGTTTAAGCCTTCCCTTCTAGGTGCTTGTGTGTTTCTGCTCCAGATGGAGAAATCCCATAGTCTAGCCCTTAACATTGCAGAGAAAGGAGATGGACTCAGCAGACCCTGATTAAGTCTCCAGGGAGGAAGTGGGCAACTTAATGACAATCTGATTGCCTTGCCAAGGAACACTATGTCCTGGCCCTCTTCAAGATCTAGTGAGGAGGGTTTTTTTAAGTTAATGACTTCTAGAGAGATTAACTGCTTTCTAAATGTTATTATTTTAATGATTCGAACCTAACTAAAGAGCCACACTCACTTTGAAAAGCATTTTGTTGAGGATTGAGATGAAAGGGGGAAAGGGATTTATTGTACTTTTTTTAGTAAAATGTGAAATTTTCAATGTCATGATCTTCCTTAACCTGTGCCTAGTGTAGCCTAAGTACAGAGTAAATGTTGCTAAGATTGGAATTAGGGATGCCAACATCATCTTCCTTTCACTTACTGAAAGTATGCTTGCAGTTTCTCGGCTGTTTATCGCGACATCAGGGCAGCAAGGAGGTGTCATGTAACCAGGAATCTTGTCCCTGTAAGAATCTTGTCCCTGCACATGTAACCAGGAATCTTGTCCCTGTAAGAATCTTGTCCCTGCACATGTAACCAGGAATCTTGTCCCTGTAAGAATCTTGTCCCTGCACATGTAACCAGGAATCTTGTCCCTGTAAGAATCTTGTCCCTGCACATGTAACCAGGAATCTTGTCCCTGTAAGAATCTTGTCCCTGCACTTTATCATTGGCTGATGAGTTCAGTTACATTTCCTGTTCCCTGTGTGTCTGGTTTATCTGTTTGCTTGTTTTTTAAACAGATCCAGTAGTGATCATGCAGGTTATCCACCCAGATGGAACCAAATGCCTTTTAGGCAGGCAAAAGCGATTTCCCCCAGGCATGTTTACTTGTCTCGCTGGATTTATTGAGCCTGGTAAGCCTTTTCTGAATCATTTTTAGAATTTTGAAACATCACATATGACATATAGTCTGCAATAAATGCCATGCTATGAATGGAAACGTTTAAAAATTTTACTGCATTTTTCTTAATGTATGTACATATTATATATATATGTATGTATATATATATGTATGTGTGTATATACATATATATGAGTGTTGTACTGTTAAGGAAAGACAACTTTGTCAGTTTTCTCCTTCAACCACGTGTGTCCCAGATTTAACTCATCCACCTTAGTGGCACATGCCTTTACCTGCTGAGCCACTTGGCCAACCCCAATATACTTAAAACAGTATTTTAATCCAGAAATTTAAGCATTGTAACATTTTCAAACTTTAACAAGTAAGGTAATTTGTTCATTAAAAATGTAATATTCGCTCTGTCATAGATTGCTTTTTGACCAACAATCCAGGTGGCTTACAGTGCGAGATGTGAGTGGCACCCTTTCTGGGGGCTGTATGATTATCCCAAGTACAGTCGTTAGCCTCAATACCTGCATTCACAAGTGTAAGCATCCTTCCTGACCTTTCCCTACAGTGATCAACACCACCTTATGCTGCTTATGTATAGATTGTCGACTTTAGAAGCACATTGGTTCTGTAAGATAAAGTGTTCTCTTTCATCCATTTTTACACGTCAGTCAGAGCCAATGCCTCACATGTAATAGGATAATATTAGGTATCCCATAGCAAATGAGTGAACATGAATGAATTAGTAATGTTTTATCTCAATATACAGTTTTAGTCTGCACTTTTGGGTAATTACAGTAGTAAATATATATTACCCGGCACTCAACTGGAAACTCCTGTATTAAATATTCTGATCCTTTTATGAAGTGGGCACTGTCACATCACTGTCACAGGTGAGGCCACTATGACACAGGGGCTGCATAACCTGCCCCAAATTAGGGCGATAGAAAAGCAGTTTAAACGCAGGCAGTTCCACTCCAGAGTCCCTGCCCCTAATCACCGCCTTGCGCTGAGAAGGGGCTGTGGACACAAAGTAGCACTTCTTACAAAGAAGTTCTTTAGAATTGCTATCTTCTGTGAAAGGGAAAATAAATGGAGTGTCCCCAAGTTTATCAACCACAATCCAAAGCAGTTGGCCAACACAAAATGGACTCCGTATGTTTTTGTTTTGTTTTGGTATTTCTTAATCATGTTGGTCTTCATCTTCCTCCTCCTCCTCCTTCTCCTTCTCCTCCTTCTCCTCTCTTTCTCTTTTTTGTTATTTTGTTTTTTGCTTCTTTTCTTGAGAGAATGAGAGAATGAAGTTGGATGGGTAAGGAGATTAGGAGGATCTGGGCAGAACTGGGGGAAAGGCAATAATATAATCAAAACATTATATATAAAAAATTAAATAATTTTGTGAAGTGTAAGCCATTATTAACTACTAAGTAGTATTTCACATGTGAGTTTTCTGGTGTATATAACTGTTCTGCTGTGGATATTTAATTTATTTAAAGATTTCAACTATTGAAAACAACACTGTATGTAGTATTTTTGTTCCTCTCTTGATGTACATTTACAAGAACTATTTCAGGTGTGTACGTAGAGTAGAATGTCTCTGCATATATTAGCCTATTAAACTTTACTAAACGTTGCCAGTGTCTCTCTAAGTTGTACCGGATAGCTCACCCCCCACCACCAACAGTAAATGAATGCATTAGTCCATATCTTCACCACCTTGGAAGTTTCACACTTTGGTATTTGAAAGAGTGTTTGCTCTATAGCCCAGATGAGCTTCCAACTCATCCTCTTGCCTTAGCCTACCAAGTGTTGAGATCATAGGCAAGTGTCACCAGGCCCAGCATGGGGTTTCTAATTTTCAGACTTTACAATTTGTCCTTCAGAGAAATAAGAAATAGCATGTCATTACTGTGCGTTTCCGTTGCCTTACTGATGGAATGTCATTGTCAAATGTATATTATACACGCACCATTCCTTTTCTTTTCATTATAGATATTTGTGTCCTTTGTCTATTTTGTTCCAGTTTCTTAACCTTAGTTAAAATCGATTTTATGCATTTATTGTTATTACAGCCTGACAAATCTCTTCTACTAGTCTGTGGTCAATTTTCACTGTGTACTTTGCATACTAAAACAAAAACTTGTGTATAGAGAATGCATCAATCTATTTGAAATAAGAACTGTATTTAAAATATGTTTTATTAAATACTGGTATAAACTTTAAAATTTCTAAACATCCAAATTAATTTTACTTAAAATATTTTTATTTTCTCAACTTCCCACAAACCAAGAGCGTTCATTCACGGATAAAACAATGCTTAGAAAGAATTCATCGTGATTTGAATCTCAAGGTTTTAAAGAAAGCTGATTGTCATAATACATGCTTGACAGCAACCCTAACACTTGGGAAGTGGAAACACTAGACTCAGTGGACAAAGGATAGCCTCAGCTACATAGCAAGTCCAAGGTCAACATGAGCTACATAAAACCCTATCTCAGACTAAAACAAAAGATTTTAATGGCGGAGAAAACTAGCCATTTTTAAACCTCATGAAATAATTTGCCTATGAAGAGTGATGCTTGAGATAATAAAAAAAAAACTAACAATGTTTGGTCAACAGTATGTGATAAATAATTGCAGATTTTGTAATAATTTTTTTTACAGCACTGCCAAATTGGGGCTTTTAAGAAATGTAAGTTGATTGTTGGCATTTTGGTATTCCATCTGTGGCCACAGACTTCCAGAAGTAACACTTTCTTCACTTCCAGTCTAGACTTAGCATTCATTGAATGGGGGCTCGTTTGAACTGTTTGGAGCTCACAGCATCCAAGTCACGCTGACCTGTTCTTTTGCCTCACCTGATTAGGGGAGACAATAGAAGATGCTGTGCGGAGAGAAGTAGAAGAGGAAAGCGGAGTCAAGGTTGGCCATGTTCAGTATGTCTCTTGTCAGCCATGGCCAATGCCCTCCTCCTTAATGATTGGCTGCTTAGCTGTGGCAGTGTCCACAGAAATTAAAGTTGACAAGAATGAAATTGAGGATGCCCGATGGTTCACTAGAGAACAGGTAGAGTTCAATTTAATTTCCTTACTCTATCGATTGTTCCCTGATAGTATTTGTTTGGGCATGCAGCAAGGAAGCAAATTTCAGCAAGTGGGATGAATGGCTGCAGCCCCCTCATTATGAATGGATGATAATATAATTGATAATTCCATATAGAAAACGTGCATTGCCGACGTGTCCTGTGAGGTTCTCTTAGAATGATGGCTCTGTGTCATTTCAAATTTCACATGTTGTACTGACTAATGGATGAATGATGATCCCTTTTAGTCAATTTAAAGTATTTATATTCATTCAGACATATCAGATAGTAATCTGAGATATTAACATTCAAGCAAATAGCTCTCAACAAATCAGCAAAAATGCTTGAAATCTTTGAAGTTCTTTTGTGTTTTAAAAGATAATGCTAAAGCATATGGTTTACCAAGAGTTTGAGTACAATGTATAGTGAGTGGATCCCAGGACAGCCTGGAATGCAGAGTGAGACTCCATCTTTTAAAATGTGTATGTGCATATATTTTACTTTATATTACATTTTATATATTATTCTGTCCTATATCATATTTATAGATATTGTAAAATATTTTAATATTTCTTATAATGGTTTATGAAATATTTTAATATTAAAGTATAAAATATTTTATATTTGTATTTTCTTTTCATATAAGAAAAGAAGTAGAAAGAAAAGGACAAAAGAAATATACCCAAGGAAGAGACACGCATATATGTCATTAAATATATAACTATGTTATAATATATTTTCATAAGACCTTTTTAAAATTACGTCTTTAAGTAAAAGAGATTAAACTACTGTACCAACTTTGAGGTTTGTTGTTGTTTTTGTTTTCTTTTGTTTTACAAAGCCCAAATTTTGATTAGAAGAAAAGGACACAATGTAGCATTAATGATGTAGGATCATTTATGGCTTTGCTCATATAAAATTGGTTTTTATCTTGTACTCACAAAACAAATTAGATTATTGTTTCAGAATTGTAGAAAAAGGAACCAATACCAAAAAGCTAACTTCATTTGAAGCTAAGTGCAGAACATGTATTTTGCTTTTATTCACGGCTTTCTTTTCATGTACCTTTCTGGAATGGTAAAAGCTGGAACCCTGACTCCCTGAAGCAGCTGGGAATGCTGTATTACCTGGTCTTCTAATGTGTTGTCTCTCGGTTATGTTCTAGGTTGTGGATGTTCTTACCAAGGGGAAGCAGCAAGCCTTCTTTGTACCGCCAAGCCGAGCTATTGCACATCAGTTAATCAAGCACTGGGTCAGAATGAACCCCAATCTCTAAGTGAAAAATACTAGCATCTGTCGGAGTAATATTTAATTTTTAATACTACTTATTTCACAAATAAGATTAGATACATTATTGATCTTTAAATCCCATAACATAAAATTTGGGAGCCTCAAAAATTTTATAAGTGTTCTTTCCATTATTAACTACAAAATTCATAGTTTTGTAAATTAGAATGGTGCCTCAGCCTGTAAACATTATTGTTGTCCTTCACAATTTTATCTCATAAAACTAACTGTATTTCTACAAAGAGAGATCGTGCTGGAATGAAGTGCACTCTGGAAATGGGATGAACATGAATCCACCTCTTGCAAAGACTAGATTCCTTGCTGGAGGAATGCATCAAAATAACTTTAATGAATTTTGAGCTTCCGTGTGTACTTGGTCATCTCATTACATTCTCTTAGCCTATTGTCCTAGTGATAGCACTGTTATAGTGTTACTTCTGGTTTAAACTGACTAGTGTTAAGAATGATTTTATTTTAGCAATTTACCCATTACTGGCCTCAGAATACAACAGTCATGGGTAGAGAACACATGCACACCAATAATCTGGAGACCTCACTGTTAAATCCAAGCTAACTACTACATATGTCTGTTTTACTTCTACTTAAAGTTGTTATTATTTCAAGTGAAGATTCTCCAATTTTCCACTGGACTTTAACAGTTTGGAAAGGAATTCTTGAAGGTCGGAAACTAAATCTCAACTATATTTACATATTTAATAAAGCACCGTCTTTATTTAATTTTGTGATGAGGGATGTATTATATACTTCTTTTGGATATTCATATATATGTATATATATGTGTATATATAATAATAATTCCCATCAGTATTCATTACACTGAAATATGATATCTTGGCTTTGACCTTATTTCATCACATCCTAAGCACCCTTATTTAGTGTACTTTAGAATTGAATTGCTGAGATCCTAGAGAAAGTAACTGCAATATTTCACAGTTTTACAACAGACATGTATGTTTTACTTGGCTGTTCTGCAGTTGTTTTAACTATATAAATGTACACATTTGACCTCTTTGCTATTCTGTTCAAACTTAAAGAGACCTTAGGCACGATAAATATTGGACATAATGAATGTAACAATTTGTTGCATGCAACTAAGAATTAGATTTTCCCTGTAATAGGAAACAGAAGCTACTACCAAAGACACGTATGGAATAGGAGCCTAGAAAAATGGCTCAGTCATTAAAGTGTTTGCTGTGCGAACATGAGGGCTTAAGTTTGGCTCCTCTGCACCCATTTAAGGAGTAGGGTTCAGAGACATAAATATCTAACCCCAGATTTAAGGAAGCAGAGAAATGAGTATCCTGGGGATTTGTCTAGCGAGTCTAATGAATCAGTAAGCTCAAGAGAGACTGTCTCAAAACACAAGGTGAAAGGCTGGAGATGGCTCAGTGGTGGGAACATTTTCTGTTCACTCTTGGGAAGGATCAGTTTGGTTCCCAAGGTTCCCAGCTGCCTGCACCTACAGCTCCATGGCATCCAAGACCGTTTTCTGGCCTCCTCAGTCACCAACATGCATGTTTACATAAGGCACAGACACATAGAGAGAGTGACTGAAGAAGAGACCTGATTTCCACCTCTGCGTGCCCCCCACACACAGGGAATAGGTTAAAAGGGGTGATGATTGGAAGAATCAAATTGCCAATTCAAATGTCAATTCAAACTTACATTTTTTTAAACCTAAATAACACTTTCTCTGAGAATGTATTTCACTAAGGAATACAACTAGCTAGTTAATTAAAGCTTCTTAGAATTAGAACCATAGATCAAATGAAATCCCATGTAGGCCATTTATATACATGGTAAGTTGGAGTTATATAACTATACTAAAATAATATACTTGATTATTATGAAATATGATCAACTGAAGTTTTTGTTCCAAATGTGCTTCTTAATACCTGTAGACTCCAACATCCTTAATGTTAAAAAGCAAAGTAAAATGAGGATGTCAAAACATATAGACTTAGTTTCCAGTTCCTTCTGTATTTGAGGAAAATCAGTGAGTAAATTGCTGTTTTAATAATCATTCCTAAATTGTGACCTTGAAGAGATGAGGAGAAATGTAAGTAGCAAAGACTGCTATCTTTTTTTTTTTTTTTTTTTTTTGGTTTTACGAGACAGGGTTTCTCTGTATTGTTGTTTTGGAGGCTGTTGGTCCAGCCCGGCCTCGAACTCACAGAGATCCGCCTGCCTCTGCCTCCCGAGTGCTGGGATTAAAGGCATGCGCCACCACCGCCCGGCAATGACTGCTATCTTAACCAGTTCTAGAGGGACGAGTGTCACCCAGGTATTCCCATGGAAATCAGTGTAACACTGCATTACAATATATTCTGTTTGTTTATTGTGTTTTTAATGTTTTCATATGTTTCTTTGACACAAAAAGAAGTTTTAGCCTTCATCATGTACCTGGAAGCTTGTATTTTCCTTTCCTTTTATTTTTCTTTTGCTTTGTTTTGTTTGTTTTTGAGCTGCAATCTCATTGTACCCAAGAAAGACTCAAAATGACAATCTTCATGCTTCAGCCTCTAAAGTTCTTGGATTACAAGTGTGTCCAACCTTACCTGATGAAAGAATTCAAGTTTAGATTTGGTGAAGGGGTGTTGTCCAGTGGCCATATACTTGTGTAAGACCTCCAAGGCACTAGGTTTGAACCCAGGCATTTAAAAAAGAGTCTACTTAAATTTTGAGTTTTGCAGTTTGTTGTAAAATGTAGCAACATTGGGCTTGTGTATACTTTATGTCATTAATAATTAAAATCAGTCTATCTTAATTCCTAGTCTACTATGGTCAATATTTGCATTTTTGAATTTTTACTTGTTTTGAAGAATTGAAAACTCATACCCTGACCTGGCAAAGCAAGCCTATAATTCCTGGTAATCAGTCCTGACGCTGGAGGACTGCAAATCTAACTGAACTACAGAGTGACGCTGGACAACTTAGTAAAACCCTGTATCAAAATAAAACATCAGAAAAGTGATGAGGATCTAGGTCACTGGTAGAACACTCATAGCAGCCTGTGCTTCAATCCACAGTAACCTAAACACAGAGCAGTAAAAGCATGCATTGGTGTGAAAGCTAGTCGGCCTGTTCAGGATTCAGGCAGATGTACTCACTCATGTGTGGATTTTAGACATGGATCAGGAGAGTGCCAGTCTGCACTTCCACTGACAGAGAGTCTGGGAAACAGGAAAGAACCTAAAAGATATGCATGGTACCCAAGAGAAGAGGAATGAGGCAAGATCCTCTGAACAGATGGGGAACACGGCTAGGGGTGGGGGGGAGTGGGAGCTGGGAAGAAGAGAGGGGGAGAAGAGGAAGAGAGAGTAGGACATGGAGGAACAGGAAGGTTGAGTGACGGGGTAGAATAGGGGGAAGAGAGAATCATAGGTTAGAATACAGATCAGGCACCAGTGTGACCCCTAGTGATCTAAAGGGATGACATCAATTGGCAAGCTAAGTAATAGTGGAGAGACCACCTCGAATGCCCATTCCTGATAATGAACTTGATGTCTATAACCATCCTGGAGCCTTCATCCAGTGACTGATGGAAGCAGAGGCAAACACCCACCGTTAAACACTGAACTGAACCCAAAGACCCAGTGACAGAGAGAGGAGTTATGAGCAAATTGGCAAAGAATGGGCTGGCAAAACCAGCAGAGACAGCTGATCTGAACAGGGGAGAACTCTTGGACCCCAGACCGACAGCTGGGAGGCCAGCATGGGACTGATCCAGACCCCCGAATGTGAGAGTCAGTGAGGAGGCCTGGGCAACCTATGGGGCCCTGGGCAATGGACCAGTGTTTATCCCTGGAATACAAACAGACATCGTGTGTCCATAGCACAAAGAGGGATGCTGTCTCGGCCTGGACTCTTAGGGAAGTGCCTGGACCCTGCCCTGAGTGAAATGACAGACTCTAGATATCCCCTATGTGGAAGGAATTGGCAATAGAGTGGGAGGCTGGGAGGGGATTGTGGGGGGGGGGGTGGGAGGAGGGAAGGGAGAGGAAACTGGGATTGACATGTAAAAAAATAAAGAAAAAAAAAGAAATAATACAAAAAAAAGAGAAACAATGCAGCGGTGAGACCGTGAGATACAAGGAAGAAGTATAAGCTTCAATGCAGCAAGGGCATATGAGAGCTGGGCTGTGGAGGAGGCAGAGGCTCTATGTAATGTTAGCAAAAAGTTGTTGAGTAGACAGGAACTGCAGAAAGTAATCATGAACATAAATACCAGAGCAACCTTCCCTCTTCTATACCATCCGTTGTATTCTTTCTTCTCCAAATACTAGGGTAGAAGTCAAAACGGCTTCAAAAATAAACATTGATTTGTTTTCTGTTTTGAAGTCTTTTTATGGTTTCATACATGTATGTATATAATAAATTTTAGCCGTTTTCTGTCCCCATTCCTCTCTTCCACCATCCCCATCTGTAACAAATCCTCCTCCTCTTTTCATATTCTATTTTGTGTGGTACCGATGAGTGTAATTAGAGTGACTCTGATGATCTCGAGGGAGAGGGTTTTACTGGAGTGTGGGCGCCATATCGGTGACTTCAGCACTGAAGAAAATGACACCCCCTGCCCCTACCCACCAACTCCCACCCCCAGCTAACATCAACTGTCTCAAGTCCCTCCAGGAGAGGTGAAGCCTCCTGGCCAACTCCACATCTATGCTGCAATGTTGACTAACTTTATACAGACTCTTGTCATATATAGCAGATTTTCATGTAATTCTTTGTTGTTATTTAAATACGAATGGTCAAAGACAACATGGGAAAATGTGTAATCAGCGACCTGAATTCCTGACTGGAAAGCATTTATTTTCAGCTGTAGAATAAGCATCTAGGGCTGGAGGGATAACTCAGCCATTAAAATGCTAGGCTCACAACAAAACCGTAAGAATACGCATGCAGACATGTTAACTGGGCCAGCATGTAGGCTGCCTGTTCTATTCATGCACACAACCGAAAGAACACACAGCTATTCGTTGATAGGAGTAGCATTGTGGGCTTTTTTTGTTGTTGTTCCTTCCAGACTGTATTTCACATTTTTATTGCTCAGAAACCCTGAAGCAACAATCAATGGGTATGTCTCCCTTTTACAAGTCTCCTGATAGTACTGCTCTCCAGAATGATGGGGGTGGCTAAGAAATTTTTTAAAATTTAAGTTAAAGAAAATAAACCTATCTGCTAATAAAAATGTGGAGTATTTTTTTCCTTTTAAGTAGAAGCCTGATAGAAAAACTGCAGCTGAAGGAACAAAAATCTGTCCTGCCTTTCCCTGGTGGCTCAAGAGAGCTATACATGTCCAACTTACTGTCTCAGTCCTGACGGATTAACTTTCTTCTAAGCACTTAGCCTGTGAAGTGGCTTCAATTTCAGGATGACTTTCCAGCCAGGAGTAGAAATTGAAAATAGTGCTCTCACCTGTATTAGAGAAGACAATGGACAGCTGATGGAAGGCGGTAGTTTTTGTTGTTGTTGTTGTTTGGGTTTTTTTTTTAACCTGTCCATTTCACTCTAGCCTGAAATTGTAATCTGTGGGAGCAGTGTGCTGTCCAGCAGACTTAGCAATGCTCCTTATAAATATTTATTTACTCATATAGCAGAGAGCTGAAGTCATCTCTGTAGGTGGAGACAATGGCTGATTTAAATGCTGCAGTTTCTTAGTTGGGTTCCCTTGTGTTTGTAGAACAGGTTTGAAGATTCTAGTTAGTGGTGCCAGTTATTTTGCCTGTTTGTTTTGGTGGCTATCTTTGTGTTTGAAAATTGGGAACATAATTTTAAAGAGATGCCCCAAAGACATATGCAAATTGAAACCCCAGGGGCTTGGTTGATCCCGACCACTGTCATCCCCTCTGCATCATGGGTAAGGGCTCCCCTGTAACTGTAACCATAATTGTGAAGTCAATAGGAGTCCAGTGTGCTGTGCAGTGTTGAGAAAATACATATCTGGAAACCTCAAAAGTTAGCATAGCCGTAGTGGTATATAATAATCACTTCCAATGAGACCCTTAATTTGTTTTGTACATATTACCAGGCTTGCCATACTAATCTCTCAAGCTCCTAGCCACCTCATCTATCATTAGTATTCTGCATTTTGATATTTAGAAATTGTGCATTCTTCACATTCTTCTAGGCTTTATAGGTTATTTTCACCTTCCTTCCATGATGCTTCTCAATGCTATATTATGGGTCTTAAATCAGTTACCTTTCTCATTGTTATGACCAAAACACCCGGTTAGAAGCAACATAAGGGAGGAAAGACGTATCTTGTCTTATAACTCGAGGCTACCATCCATCATAGCAGAGGAAAGGAAGCAGGAAGAGAGGCACAGCCGGAAAACTTCATGCTCTTTTCCTAGTGACATACTTCCCCTAGCAAAGCTCTCCCTCTAATGGTCCATGTACTTCCCAACTAACACCTTCATGCGGGTACCAAGCATTTAGACACATCTGTAGGTATCATCTCACATTAAACAACAGCAGGTCCCTATTTACAGGCTACTTAGTAGCAACTAAGGACACAACTCTCTGGTTACCTATTCTCATAGTAAGACTTACAAGGGATATTTTGTAATCAATGCTATAGTGGATTTATCTTTAAATAACTAGTTATGGTGATTACTTGTCAGCCAGACAGGATCTAGAATCACCTACAAGACAAACAAGTCCTCTGTGGAAGTACAAAGCCCCATCCTAAACAAGGGGAACGCCATTCGATGGGCTGAAATTCCAGACTAAGGAGGAGGAGGCAAATGGAGTGGCACCATTGGTGGCTCTGCCTCCAAGCTGTGAGTGCAAAGTGACAAGAGGTCTCAGACTCCTACAGCCACACCTTCCCTACAATGATGAACTGACACAAAAGAAAACATACCCTTCCTAACGCTGCTTTTGTCAAGTACGGTGTCACAGAAGTGGGAAAAACAACAAATGCATAACTGCCAAGAACACAAGGCCACGGGGGCCTATTGAAACTTTAGCATGTGACATTGTCATGGATATCCAGTAATGAAGCAGTAAAAATACAGCTGACCCTGGACTTCCAGGGAACCCGAAGCAAATTGGCACGTAACCTATTAAATACGCATTTCTGACAGAATGTTACTTCTTGAGTTTTGTGTAAACATGCCCTTGAGGTCCTAAACAAGCAGCTTTGTTTTTGCCTCTGCATTTGCCTGTGTGAACTATATGTCCCGTGTGTGCAGGTCTGCATTGGTGATCTCACCCGCCTATGTTCATCCTACTCTCCTGTGCCTGCCTGTATGTCTATTGGCATCCAGGGTAGCCTAACCTCAGCACGTAAAGTGTATTCCTGCATCTTCTTCCTTGGCTTTGGAGCTTGGAGTTCACAACTACCTTACAAAACACTTGTCAATACTATCCCAAATTCAACAATGGTCTAAACAGAGGATGCCATTCCTAAAGACAGGTTGCTTATAAACAGATGAACCAGAGCTTGAGGCCAAGTAGTCTACTCTAAATTTAGTTACTTAGTCAGTTGGGTAGTGTTGTGAAATAATTAGTTTAAGATGTGTTACATTCATTGATGCTGCAGAATATTTGCTTAATGATGCAAAGGTGTTGCATTCTTTCATGTTGCATTTGTGTAACTCTGTAAAGCTGTGTCTCTTTGCTGCTTAAAACACCTGATTGGTCTGATAAAGAACTGAATGGACAACAGCTACGCAAGAGAGGGATAGGCGGGGCTGCCATGCAGAGAGAATAAATAAGAGGAGAAATTTAGGCTCCAGAGAAGAAGGAGGAATGAGA